ACTTAGGAGTTAGCTGTCACCATCAGCATAGTTTGAAAGTGTAGCCTGATTGACCCCTGGTGACCTGGGGACCAGAACTTGCCAAATGCTGTCAGATTGCTCAAGGAAGGAAGTGACTTGGCTGAGCTCAGAGCATTCGAGATTAAGGAACACATCAGCCTTGGCCGAGGCCAAATTCACTGCCTGCCAAGTCACTGTCCTTCAGACACCTGTGAGGGGTTCGGGAATAAGGCAGCTAGCTGCCTTGAGTGGCCACCTCTGTGCCTCTACCATTACTTGAGGGGTCAAACTACACCAGAGGTTCTACTGGCTTCTTGAGGCACAAGAAACCCTTTTCCTGTAAGTGAAATCTAATATAGAAGACCCAAATCAGAACCTAATCCTTGAAGCACATGTTGGGGGGGGGTTTTGCCCAACTGTCCATCAGCTGACAAGCAGGTACTAATAAACTGCAGTGTATTTAATCTATATAATAATTGAAGGGCACTCTGATGTAAAGGTCTAACACATGCTATAGCATGGCTGAACTTCAGGGACATTATATACATGAAAGAAGCCAATCACAAAAGACTGCATAATGTGCAATTCTTTAAAAAAAAAAAAAAAAAAAAAAACAAGAAACACCACCGAGGACAGGAAATCCATGGCAGATAGGCAGCTTCCAGGGGTTGTGTGAAGGTCCGGAGATGTAGGGAGTATGTACAGGGATGGTTTTTTTGAGGAGTGACAAAAATTTTTGGAGCTACATGGACTGATAACCCTACAACACTAAGTATCATTGAGTTGCATGCTTTTGGGGAGGGTTGCTAGGGATCAAATGTATGGCCTCACATATGCTAGGTGACTGTTGCCATTGCGCTACAGCCCAGTCCTCCAGGCTGTATACTTCCAGAATTTACAGTATGCTAATTTTACTCCCATAGAGATTATCAGCCTCCTCGTCTCCATGTTCCAATATGGAAATCAATAGTCACTAGATATTAAAGTTTTTCAGTCAATTAGTTCTCTTGTGACAGCTGTCTTCCTTGTTTACTCTAAAAGTAATTTCTCCTAGCCTCCCAAACACACATGTCCCAGCGACATCCTGCTGCCTGGAGAAATCTCACCCCCACTGCAGCCCTCTCCAACATCATTGCCTCAGATTTATGATTCATCATCGGGTTTTAAACTCACAATTCTGCAAGAAAGAAAAGTAACTACTAATCATTGTTTTTTTGTTTGTTTCATGTCCTGTAGGTAACTTTCTCATTGATGAGTAAAATGAGCATGAGAGAGAGCATGCTGTCAACAGTGTGGTGGCAAACACCTACAATTTCAGCACCCAGGAAGCTGAGGTGTGCAATCTCCAGGCTAGACCACTCAGGGAGACTCTCTGTCTCAAAAGCCAGTACCAAGGCAAACCAAAAACATACCCACAATATTGTTTCCTTTGAATGGCCATCTTTGTTTTATTTACATGTTATTATCTATTATGTAGAAAAAGCTCTTGGAGGCTCAAAACAGCCCTACAACTCTCTGAAGCACCTGCTAGCACCTACCACAGAGGAAAGATTTGAAGGTCATTTGTTAGCCTGAACAGGAAGCACTTTGTTTGGCTCTTTTTGAGACAGTGTTTCATTTTGTAGCCCAGGCCTGGTGGGGGAATTTCCTTGGTAGCACAGGCTTTCCTTGAGTTTTTGGCAGTCCCATGAGCCTCTGAGTGCTGGGATTACAGGCATAAATCATCATGCCCAGCAAAGAGAGTACTGTTGGATATGTTTGGAAGTCGGTCAGCAGGGTCAGCCTCCTCTGCCACAGAAGAGCTGTGACTGCTGTCAGCCTCACCTAGACAGGTGCCCTGGGTTAGAAGACCCAGGATGTACAGAGGAGCAGGCTATGCGGAGGTGCAGGGTACACGGAGTTACATGTCATACAGAGGAGTCGGACCCTTGGATGTGCAGGGTGTACAAAGGTGCGGGATGCATGGAGGTTTTCCGGGCACATGGGCATGTTAGAGCTTTTCTAATGATTCTTCTACACTTTCCAGAGAAGTCTTGGCAGGGCCGGGGGGGGGGGGGCTGGGCACTTGGGACATCTTCATCTTAATTAAGTTTGTGTGGGTCAAGGGAACCCCACTCCAGCTGTCTTGATGGCAAACACCCCAAGCAGGAACCAACCAAAAAGGACCAACCAGATGCTCTAGAACCAGGCATGGAAACACACACACACACCAGTAATCCCTCTGTCTCTTGGGAGGCAGAGACAGGAGGATTTTGAGTTCAAGGCCTGCCTCGGCTTCATAGTGAGACCCAACTCAAACAGCAAACAACAGCAACAAGAAACTGAAAACTGCTTCTACAGGGATGTTCCGGCCTGGAATTCTACTTAACGTCACTCAGTACAGTTGGGCTGGGAATGGTGTGGGTGTGGTCTCAGAACTGCATCCACAGTTTTTGGCCCATCAGCCCTGCATATTTTCTCTGTCCCCTCCCTGTGTTTTGTCCAGTTATCTTGAGACATAGGAACTGAGAATAAATTCAGCCTGGAGCCTGGTAAAGTTACCACAACAATAATTGCTTACATATCCTATCCATGCACTTTGCAGACTACAATGTGCTCTTATGGATGATCATTGCTGGCTAAAAATAAAATAAAATGAAGTGAAATTAAGGGGGGGGGGAACCTCAGTAAGTGGCATTCAGCTATTCCCACACCTTCTTCTGCTGCTGGTAAGAAAGAGGGAGATGAAAAGGCTTCTAGATTAGAATGGAAGCCTGAGTCCTGAAATTCTGTTCCTGATATCGATACAAAGTCAATGCTTTTTAAATTAAAAATGAGATGCGGCTACTTATGACTTGATAAGTTATAAAATGCTTCTTTCATCCTTCTCAGTCAATGGTCCTAGGCTCTACTGCAAATAAATTTCAGATCTTCAACTCATATGGATTGTGTAGGTAATGTTAAACAAGGACAGGGAAAAAAGAAAGCTATCTCTAGCTATTTTAGTGTGAAGGGAGGAGACATCGAGTCCTCTGTGTTAGGTAGCAGAGTTTAAAGACTGATCAGGCCTCCTGAGCACTAACCAGCCCTGACTCTGAATTCAGAGGAGGCAGGCTGTGTTCATGGAAGCATGGCCAGAGAAGAGCCCTCTGATAGACTGTCCAACCCCAGCTCTAAACATGTATACATAACAGCAACACTAATAAACCTGGTAGATTTTATATGCATAAAATATGAGGTGGCATAATAGGAAGGACATATGAGAGATAGAGAGGGTAAGGAAGGGATAAAAATGATGTAGTACTCACCTAAGAAATTTTCAAAAGAAAAAAATTAAATTTTAAAAGTATGCTCAGGCCACACAATGGATTTTGAACTTCTTGTTCCCCATGAAGAAGTCACAATACCAGTGGGTCAAGGTCATCCTAAACTAATTTGCACCCCCATGCTATAGAAAACTACCCACTTCTGCCTGCACAAAGCCTCTTGGGATCTCATCTTGACCATTGACCATTACAGAACAGATTTTTAAGGAGTGTGCCTTATTGCAATTAATCTAACTAAACTGCAACTCCAACAGTGTTTTTCCCCCCTGAGGGCTAAGTATGACGAGGAACTGCATGTGTTTTGCCAACAGCCGTCTCATTTGCCTGCTGTCTGTTGGACCTGAGGTTCTCAGAGGACTTGGTGACCTAGGGATGTCGTCTCTAAAGCAGGCTCTGTGGTAGTCACACCTGTAGAACTGGCCTATGAGAACCACAGGTTGATGTCCGTGGGATGCTGCCAGCATAGTTGCTCTCAGAAGAGATCAGGGAGCAGGTACCACCTAGCCTGGCTGATATTTCCTGCAAGGTACGGTTGCTCAACCACAGCTGCCAAGTCACAGCACATAGGGAACCTACAGACATCTGTGGGCAAATCTCCAAGCCGTATTCGTAAAACTGGGCACTGCTGAAGGTGAGGACTCTTGTGCTGGCATTTTAGAGGCTGCTCTGGTGGTTGTCAGTGCACTCAAGGGTGAAAAGCATTGTCCTGCAGGGACTCCAGCAAGAGCTGGGTTTGAGCCCACGCGATGGGGAGTCTCAGCAGAGGGACCTAACAAACGTCACTGTCTGGGGAAGTCAGCATCCCTCCTTGTCTCCAGCCACGGCCGGCAAGTGTTGACATGTCTGGGACCTTTTGGATCAGTCTGAAGCATTACAGGTATGAGAAGAACCACTTGAAATGCCTGCTTTAGGGTTTCTGCCTAAAACCTAGGCACAAATTATAATCAGTCAACATGTACTTTGTGGGAGCCTAAACTGAGTGTTAGTGAGGGACAAACAGAACAAGTTGGCCAAGTGAAATGTTCTTCATATCCTGCATAATCGCATGAAGGGTGACGCAGGGACATATATCCTCCCCCTACCCGACCCTGTGGGTAGCCGAGAATGTAGGAGGGGGCAGAAATTTAATTTGGACATGTGCTAGAGGCATCAGAAGCCCATGACATCTGCCCTGGAAACATGGAACTCAAAAGCCTCCATCTCAAGAGTGTGGGGGCACTGTGAGGGAAGGCAGAGGCAGCTCTCTCCATGTGCAGCCACTGTGTCCTTTCCAGCATGCTGAAGTGCTCTGCTGTGCATACGGATTTCAAACAGTCATGGGAAGTGGAGATCTGTCACTGAGGGAAGTGGGACCTTCAGATTTGGTAGGCACCTTCAGATTTGAATAGCCATGGAGATTTATCACTGAACCTCAACTGTGGTATAATTACTGATCCTCGGTTGGTTGGTTGGCTGATTGACTGTAGTGCTGGGAATCGGACTTAGGGTCTCACACATGCTAGGTACATGGTCTACCACTGAGCTATATTCCCAATCACTCCTGATTTTGAGTTGTTGGTTGCTTAGCACTATTTATGAGATAAAAAAGATTAATTTATTCATTTAGATTTCAAGAAATTACTTCGCCCGCTTAGGACCCAAAGCAGCTGAGAAATGAAAGCATCGGCAGAAATGAGTGACATAATAAAGACTTACTGCATCTCCTTTTTCTTCTTCAGAGGGTCCATGAGGCGCAGTGTGTCTCTGATCACGGCCACCTTCACCTCTTCATCCACCAGGCTTGGGATATTTTCAAACACCCCTGGAGAGAGCTTGGGAGATAAGGATTTCGAGTCAGAGCTAAACTGTGACCCACTTCTGGTGCTTACCCTGTGTGCCTCCAACTAACTCAATGGTTGTGCAATTATGCACCTGGTCTATGCAAATCCATAGAAGGGAGTTTTAAGCCTCCTTCATCTTAGCTTAAGTATGCAAATAACCTTTTAGAAATCCACAAAGCCCACAAAAAATAACAGCACTATGATTTTGTTATTATTGATATGATTTTGTTTTGTTAGCCCAGGCTGGCCACCAACTTGATATGTAGCTGAGGATGGTCTTGAACTCGTGATCCCTCTGCACCCCCACTCTGGACCCCTGGAGTTACAGGTGTGTACTACCATGCCTGGTCATAGCACTGTGCTTCTTGGATTATCAAAATTATACATGTTCACTATGTACCAGCTGGGAATGTGTAAAGGGCTTAAGAAAATTAAAAGAATCTGGATAATCCCCCAAAAAACCCAGTAGTAATTTTAGGGGTATTTCCTCTGGCTCCTTAAATGTGTTGGGGGTGGGGTGTTGGAGCACAAGCACTGTTAAATGTACTGTTTATCTTAGTGGCTCAAGCATGTCGACACGGCTAACTCATATTCATAGAATTTCAATTAGTTCATCTCCTGAGGCTAACTAATTAGCTCATGTCAAAATGGATGGGAAGGCTCAGCTGCTTCTAAGTTTCCCACCTTAAAAATGAGAAGAATGGCATGCTGGGAAATTACAGTGGGTCAGAAAGGTCTTATATTAATAGACTCTCTTTGGAGCTCGACAGAACTAAAATTATTTGACTCAAACAGAATTTTGCTGTGAAATTTTGAGGATGGTGAATCTTGGGCAGTCAGAGGGAAGCCTCACAGGTAGGAACAGATGGCCCAGGGATTGCTGTGATCGCTTACTTCGTATCCGTGCTCAATTCTCATGCTGGGGTTTGCATTCACTTCTAGTAGCATAGGCTTCAGGTTCTTCATCAGAAGAATGTCAAAGCCTAGAATCTGGGCAGAGCAAAAATAATTCAGAATTATTCCCTCTGGCCACAGTTTCCTCTCAGGAATTGAGTATGGTATTAGGGTCAGTAAGGGGAAAATAAATTCAAACTTGGTCTCCAACCTTGGCCTTGGCTCTGATCTCCCGCCTCCACAGCCCTCCCTCCTCTGCACGTACTCGTTGGACCAAACACATAGCAGAATTTTTTTTATGGAAACCTTGGTAATGGGATGTGTTCCCATAGTACATTTCAGTACTATCTGTGTCATCTCAAGTGCCATAAAACGATGCTGCTTTTCCTCTTTAACAGGCTTTTTATTATGCTAAGGATTACTAGCAGTCCATCAGTTTCTCTCCTGGCCTTTTGTTCCACTCTCCTGTTAAGATGCTTTTTGGCTATGTCTCTGGAAACCTAAGGTCACCTTTCTTAACCTGGAGTATACATGAGTGTCTTATAAGTTTCCAAAGCAGCTCATCCTCCAGGTTAGAGTCTTAGAGTCACTCAGAGCAGAATGCAGGCAAGTGTGTTTGGGAAACAGGAATTACTCTTCCTGGGTGAGTCTGATACAACCTCTTGTGTGTATGTGCATGCTCGTGTGTGTGTGTGTGTGTGTGTGTGTGTGTGTGTGTGTGTGTGTGTGTGTGCACCAAAGATGCACAATTCCATTATATCCTATGAAGAAGACACTCTTGGAAGGAAGCAGAATTTGAGCCTCAGAAAAGATTGTGGGTTTCCTCAGTACTGCCTACCTAGTGAGTGAGTGTTGGCCTTTACACCCAAAGAGGACTGATCACATATGCATCTGGTATAAGAGGAGTGTGTGTGTCTTTGCTCAAAAAGCAGTCTCTGGATGGTGACAACAGAACATGAGACCAAGCTAGACAGCTACCTGAATGTGGTCCCTGGGCAGCCACTCCACAGATCACCACTCAGGCTAGCCCTGTGCTCAAGGCTCACTCCAGCAGCAATTGTTGAACACCTGTGTGCTTGAATTCATCACTGGTCGGTCAGCTGCAAGTGAGGTTTCATCCCCCAGTCTCCCTGGCCTCTTTGAATTCCCTCCAAGTCCTTCTATCAGGTCAACTGATCGCTCCCTCTCACAGTCCTTCACCTGGACAACTTTGCATCCTTGAGATCCTTCCTAGTGAGGTTCAGACTCACACTACATGGGTCTCAGAATATCGGGACATAGGGTTCTATTTCTAAAGAAGTGATAACATTAGAAAATTTCTAACAAAATTGATATATTCTGGAGCCTCAAATAAATAAATAGACAAATAATGCAGAAGAGGGCAAAAAACAAAAAGATGTCGTGTAGACTCCCCTTCCTCTATGGACTTCAGAGGGAGAGATGAAGAGAATCCATTTGCCCATCCATATAGAATATGCATTAGTTAAATGATAATTATCAAACTGTAGCTTCATCTATATTAATGAAATCAAAGCCTGGATGGCCATTTTTAGGGATGATTCGAGATGAACTTATGTCTCAGTGAAGGGCAATCAGGATAAGGAGCTGGGAAAAAAAATCACCATTGTACTATTTTTCTTTCCATGGTCATGAAAAGGAAGGAATAGAAATCAGTAGAAAATGCTGCATGTATTACAGACCTGCTTAATAATAAATGACAAGTGGATATGAGTGATGAGGCCTTCAAGAGACTTCGTGATACTAGCAGTGTAACTTCTGATCTAGCCTGAGCCATGTGTTGCTGATGAGACTGAGGACAATGGCTAGCCACTGTGTCAGCACTGGGCATCTAATGGTCTGCCCTGGCTTCCTGCTGCATCTCACAAGCACAGGTTTTCACCTTTTCATGGTGAGACTATTGCTGTTTCAGACCCAGGAGACTAGTGAATGTGAAAGGTTGTTGAGAACTGGGAGGAAAGGGCAGTGAATAGTGCCAACTATTCAAGAATCTGAACTTGGGTTACATAGTTTTGGATGGATTGAATCTCACATGGAAATACTTTGGAGTTGGAAAGCCCTGGGCTCTGGTTCTTTCTCAGTCTCTCTCACTAGCTCTTTAACAGGCTTTAGAGAACGTGTTTAGTGGACATAACAGAGAATCCCTGTAGGGCCACCAGTAATGGGTGTCAAAGATGGTACCTAGAACTGTGCTTGTCCTATAGAAGGTGACCTGTGCTAGCTCTCTTCCCACTCTCTAACTAAGTCCATTGACAAGAGATGGCACTGTTGTGCTGTGGAGTCACAAGGGGTGGCACATCTTCAGCTCTGCCTTCAACTACATGAAACTCCTTGGTGTCTCTAGGCCCCTCTGTCTTCATCTGTAAAATGGGAAAAAGAACTCTCATTCATTCATTAGTGCCATATTTACTGAACCTCCTACAACCATGCACCATCAAGTAGGGCACACGGGAATACATTCTGCAAAGTACTTGACACACATTGTGTGTTTAAGGACATCAAAGAATATTATATTTTTTAAGTTCAAGGACATCTGAATTATTTTCCTCTTAAAAAGTTTGATGATGAAATATCCAGTACCCATGAATCTCAGATTCGACTTGGAGTTGGATCTTGCCATTGCAATCCCAGAATATCTGAACTGGCAAATAAATAAACCCTGGAAGTTTCTTGGTCCACAACTTCTCAAGATGCTGTTCTTTTGGAAGGAGCCAGATTCGATTGACTTTGACCTATTTTTAATATGTTACACTTCTGGGAAAAGATATATTTTTTTCTTTTCTGAAAATCACTAATCTCATCTAGTCCCTCCTTTTATGAGACCCCAGAAACCTGAAGCCTGGGAAGAAGGCAAGGACCCCTCTTATGTCTCTCCAGCTGCTGTGGCACAGTAAGGTTTGTCAAACGGAGAGGTCACTTTTCAGTCATGTGATCATCTGTGTAATGGTGCCTTCAACCAACAACGTGGGGAGCGCCTCCCACTTGAAGGATGCCCTGGGATTAAAAAACATCTATTCTTCACTAAAGGCCTCTAGAAGCTTCCAATTGAGTTGAAGAGGGTCCTGAGCAACTGACTATAGATTCACACAAAGGTTTCAAGCTACATTCCACTGACAGCTCTCCTCTGAATGAGTTACATGACCATCTGAATCAAGTATTGTCAGCAAGGAGGTCCAGAACTCCTCAAACTCTACATATACCCACAGTCTGTGGTCTCTAATGTGGTCCCAGTGAGCCCATCTCCCAGTATTCAAGAGTTTGTGCAACTCCTAATCACCTCCACACATTTGAATGTAGGCTACATTTAGTGACTTGTATCTGATAGAAGGACAGAAATGATGTGTCACTTCCAACATTAAGTTAAAAAAAGATAGTGGTGTATGTCTTTCTCCCACTCTAAAAGAAGCCACTAGGCATGTGAGGATAGAAATGACATGATTTCTCCAGCCACCCTCCAGGCAGGACCTGAGGCCTGTCAACATTGTGAGTGAACTTGGAGGAGGACCTTCCTCAATACGGCCTTGAGAGGGATGAAGCCCTGGCCAGCCTGCAAGCTGGAGCCTTGGAAGAGACTTGGAGTCAAAGACACATCAGTCACTCTCAGATTCTCTCTCCTCTCTCTCCTCTCTCTCTCTCTCTCTCTCTCTCTCTCTCTCTCTCTCTCTCTCTCTCTCTCTCTGTGTGTGTGTGTGTCTCTCTCTCTCTTCTGAGATAAGGTCTTACTCTGTAACCCTGGCTGACCTAGAACTCACTATGTAGATCAGACTAGTCTCTAACTCACAGAGATCCCCCTATCTCAGCATCCTGAGTGCTAGAATTATACACCCAGATTTTTTTTTCAAGTTTATCATGTTGGAGTTTCTAGATTGATTTAGTTTATTATTTTCTCTGTGTGCCTATTTTGCTTGCTTGTATGTCTGTGTACCATGTGTGTGTCTGGTGCCTCCTGAGGTCGGAGAGTTGTGAGCCACCATGTAGGTGCTAGGAATCGAACCTGGGCCCTCTGCAGAGCAACAAAGATCCTAATTGCTAAGCCAGCTTTCCAGTCCCTACCCTTATATTCTTGATCACCATTAATTTGTCCCACAGTGATAATGAACACAGCATCCTTTTCCGCTAAAATCTACTGTTTCCTTATTCAACCGTCAATCAAGGCACAGCCTCTCCCCTTATCTACCTGGTCACCAGGCCTTGTAAGACCTTTCTAGATCTGGTCATCTCACTACTAGCATCTCAACTCAGCTCTCATTTCCCCCAATTTCAAGCTCACCCCTTTAAATCACTTCATGAGGTGGCAGGGTAACTTCTAGAATATAAAAAGAATACTAACTCTCCCCTGACTCATCTCTGCCCATAGAAGTTCAAGTCCTGTGGCTCGTCCTTCAGCTACCAGGATAGGCTGGACTCTATCACACAGCACCCTAAGCCCCTCCCCACACCGCTCATCTGGGTTCTAATTACACAGCTCTATGTTTTAGTTTGTTGTCTCCCACCCCCACTCTTCCCTTCTTCCTAGATGCCAGTATTCCTCTGCCAAGTATTTACTGAACACCTGTTCTAGGCACTAGGAACAATGCAACTCAAAATAACACTTCTACTGTCACCTGAGCTCCCATTTCAGAGAAGAGAGGGCCATGAGCAAACGAAAGCTACAGCAAGGTAGGAACACAGGAGTGGGAAGGTGGGCAGAGGGGAGGCTGGGGGGGGGGGCAGGGAAAGGCTTGCTTTCTTTTTTGGGAGGGGGTTGAGACAGGTTTCTCTGTGTAATAACCCTGTAGACCAAGCTGGCCTCAAACTTATAGAGAGTGGCCTGCCTCTACATCCCAAGTGCTGGGGTCAAAGATGTGTGAACCACCCTGCACTGGGAAGGGCTTTCTAAGGACTCTTGTCAGACCACTGTCTGTGGCTCACACAGCTTCTCCTGGGGTGTGATGTCATCTCTCCTCTCAATGGGATCTGTCTTCATACTGCTATGGCTGCTTTAAAGCTGATCTCATCAATGCTGCTATTTATGATTTGATTGTAAGTCTTAGGATGTGGATTGTGAGCTTTTGTTATGTTTAACCAAATTTGGAAAA